TCACATTGTTTTCTCTGTTAGCCTGCCTCTAACAGTCAGAAAATAATTTGAACGATGAAAACCGATCACCCCTTTAGGAAATAAAACAGAAAAAGTGAATGAAAATTAAGAAAATTTTCACACTGTTTAACACTTTAGCCTCCATCTAAACTAGTTTGAACCATGTAAAACTAATTACTCTTTCATGAGGTTAAAGTAGAAAAGCAAATGAAAATTCAGAAAATTGTTTGAACCTTGAAAAACAGATCACCCATTTATGAGATAAAAGAGGAAAAGCAAATGAAAATTCAGAAAGTTTTCACAATAACTTTAAATTAGGAGTAAATTCTGAGGAGTAATGAATGCTTTAGTAAACGGCATAAAAAGTAGATAAAAATTTTCACATTAAATCAAGTTCAAAAATAGACTTTTTTACATTTCTAAACCAATTCACATGTAAGGATTTGAAAGGAAGTTAGAAAACTAAAGAGGATATAATTGAAGATAAGTTGGTTGGTGTGTTCAGTCAAAAATACAAAGTAAAAAAATAAATTACTATTTAGTTTTTACTTTTCATTTTTGACTGAACATCCCAACCAACTTTTCTTCAATTATTCACTACACTCAACCATCAATCCACTATTAAAGAGGGTATAGAAAACTCAAGAAGCAACAATGAATCTCACAAATTTTATAAAATGAACAATGCTAATCATATAGGAAGATGTAGAAGAAACATGGAGACAACATCGTTAAATCTCAGAGAGCCTCTAGGATGAACATATACAATCAACAGTGCCTATTGATGACTTGAAAGCAATTCTACCTGATTTCAAATTGTTTAAATCTGAGCATTATAAAGTTGTTGCAGAATATGATAGTTCAAAAATAGAAAGAGGAGCTCTTACCTAAACAATGAAATGATAGCCTAATAGTATCAGCGTACAAGAAAAAGGGAGATTCAACAATGTGCAGTAACTATAGGAGGATTAGCTTGCTTAACACTGCATATAAAATCTCCTCCACATCCCTCTACAGTAGATATAGAGCAAAAATTGGGTGACTATCAAGGTGGTTTCCGGCTCAATAGGTCTACTGTTGACCAATCTTTACCCTCAGAATGATCTCTGACTAGATGAATGAATATCAGCAGATAGTTTAGATCCCATTTATTGATTTCAGGATAGCTTATGACACAATTATAAGAATAAACTAACACCTTGTATAACTAGGACTGTACAAAATAGTAAAATGCACAACGGCGAGTAAAATATTGCGCTGCCTTTTTGCAGCGGAAAGTGGCTTAATATAAAGGGATCCATTAGCTCCTCTCCTTTTTAATATTGCTCTACAAGTCATCATCAACAGAGCTGGAATGAATCAGGAAGTGACAATATTCACAAAGATGATCCAAGCAGATGAAGTAAGCATCATCGGGAGATACAGAGCATAAAGTTATCCTTTGAAGCACTTGATGTAGAGGCAAAGAAGATCAGTCTATATGGTAATGAGGGGAAGACAAAGATTGTGGTAATAGCCAAAAAATAGCAAATTCAGGGGTGAAGTCACAATGAAATGGGCCTTTACAATTCTGAATTGGTGAGAAGCTTCCAATATCTCGGCTCTGTCATTAGAAATAACTTAGGTGAAGAAGAAGTGAGAAGGAGAATCACAGGGAGGAATAGAGCTTATTTTTCTATATGAAAAATAATTAAGAGCATATTGATAAGCCATACCACCAAGGTTAGGGGCTTTACAGGACCCTTATAAGACCAGCAGTCAGGCATGGTAGAAAAACATGGGTCTCACCAAAAACATTAAAAGCACCAACCTGCTGGACAAGTTTGATAGGGTAATATTAAGCAGAATGCTGAAACCCTTATATGAAAATGATCATTGGCAAGAAAGAAAAAACAGGAAACTACTTAGGCTCTATAAGACATTAACTTCCTACATCAAAATAAAAAGATTAAAATGGCTCGGCCATGTTGTGAGGATGAGTGACAATAGAATCACAAGTAGGGTATACACATCAGGGTCTTCATACTTTTTGGCCGATTGTAACATTGAGACCTCCAACAAGTTCCGTGGGCCATGGCTTGTGATGAGAAAAAAAGAAGCTTGATCTATAAATGACATTTCAGATGTAAAATGAGTTTTCTTTGAGGAAATAAATCATTCAATTAATGTTGTAGTAACCTTGTGTTTGAGTGATTTACTAAATTTCATATTTTTTAAAGTTCTCTATGTAATTAAAGAAACTTTTGCAGACCACTATTATACATCAATGTCCCAGATGCTATGCAACCACATAGTAGGCCAAAGACCGATGGAGAGACAGTATCTTCGAGAATCAAGGATTTCTTTTACCCATGTAGAAGATATAGTGAGATGATTGGAGATGGATAGGGAATGTTGAGTAGGCCAAGGGCAGTCTCATGTACCTGTTGTGCCAATAGAAGAAGAATAAAATGTACTAGTAATGAATTTCAATCGTTTTACATGACAAAAAATTTGCTTGGCTTATTTTACCGGAAGCGTCTTTTGGTTTTTATAATTCATAATTTTATATATTTGAATCGAGGTTGATAATCTCCCCTTGTTAGTTCAAAACTTTTTTTGAAGGCATATTAGGATATTTGATTGAATATTTTAGCTGTCTTACTGCATATTTTTTTGTTTTTGACAGCATTTTTGTATTATATATGCCTATAACATGACTTATTCTACAGGTTTTCACTGAAAATCTAGCCTCTACTTTTAATATACTTTCTGTAAGTAAATTATTGCAAAAATAAATAGTACACACACACACAAAATGATTGTTCACTAATCATAATTTAATTCAGTATTTAATTGTAATTATTAATAAACTTATTACTACAGAAAATTATTTGATTTTAATATAATAATAAATTATTTGATGACCTCTCATTTTATTCATATTTTCCAATTAACAAAAGATTGAACTCATCTTGAATACTTTTGGTGATTCCAATTGTCACCTCCTGTTTTTGAACGTCAGCTTGGCCACTTAATGACTCCAAATGAGACATAAAGCTTTCAGAAATGGAAATTCTAATTAACTAATATGCTCTAATTTAAATATATTTGGAGATAATATCCTATTTCACATTAACTTGGCTTAAATGCCACAAAAAATAAATACTACTCAGAATTACCTGCTTTGGGATTTGATTGTTCTGAGACTAGAAACAATATTTCTGGTTCTCCTATAGTGTAACAATTTTAATTTTAACTTGCAGCTAACCTTATCCTGAGACTAGTTCCTTCCATGATTGACGTTATGGTGCACTTAGTCTCTAAATAAGACTAATTTCAGACCCAGCAAATGGCCTATAATATTAACTATTTGTTACCAAAAAATAAGATAATTTAAAAAAAATACTGATTTAATAACTCAAATTATAAACTTTAAAATTCTTTCAATTAAATAGTGATGAGTGTTTTGCTAACTTTGCTATCAACTAAACAGATCGTGTCCTCAGTCTTTTATTTTCATTTTTTCCAAATAGGCACTAAACTTCCATTGTTCGAAGTTATAAAAAAAAAAAAAAAAGTCCATTCAACAAAACTCATAGAAATTAACAAATTAAAGTTCTATGAGGAAGAAATATTATTCATGTTTAACCAAAATATTTCTCGATGAAATAAATTTGTCATTTTGTAAATTAATTCTAAAGACTTTATTGAATAAATGTTAATTATAATTCTGTGTATTACTCAATAGTACTATCTAAATTAATTCACTCTTGATCGAAAATTTTCATCAACTGATGATTAAGTTTATGATTATGGTGCTAAGATATTAAAAAAAAAAAAAGATGATAGCATATCTCAAATTCGGCAACCCATTGTCATTAAATCTAATTTTAATGTATTTATTAACAAAGTTTAGGATGCTCAACATGAATACATGTTTATCATGTTAATTTGTAAAAATTAAAACATAAAAAAATTAACCCAATATGATATAAATGAAGCATTTATGGTTTTGATTAAATTTAAAATATAATTATGTGTAGTTATTTTTATGCAGTCATATATTTAATTAGCTTTTGTTTTGTTAAGAAAAATTAAGATTTTTGTTAAGTATATCTAGACAATTAAAAAAAGAAATAAAAAAAAATAATTTTTTATTCAAATAAAATTTATTTTTAAAATGACTATCGGGGAGAAAAAAAAACTGAGTAACTGAAGCAGAAAACTGAAATAAGAAATAAAAAAATATTGCTTTCCTTAATTTTAATTTTTATGGCATACAACGGGTCTCACTTGAGTTGGTACTGAAAGTTCTTAATTTTAATTTTAAACTCTTGTAAAAGATTAAACTTCATAGTAATAATAACGAGATAATATTAATTAAAGTGTTTGAGTTTGAAACATTTTATCATTATTGCTTCACTTTATAAATAAATAAATCAGTGAAAATAGTATAATATTTTTCACTTTTAATTTATTCATAATTAAACATTTGATAATGACAAACCTATATTACAAGTTTTTGATTATTGAAAATTCAGATTTATCTACATACTGCAATTTATTATGAAATCAATAATAAAAATACTGAATAAAATAATAAAAGGCAAACAAGTTCGGTATTTATTGGATTAAGTTTAGAGTATTCATTAACTTAATCTGTCAAATAAAATACAGTGAAACCAAATATAGAAAAAAATTTTGACACGACAATAACATTTGTATAGGGTGAATTAATTAGTAGAAACGGGAATTTCAGGGCATAGCAATTGGAGTTTTCATGATTTTATTTTATATTCATATCATGTCCAAAAATATTTGTTTTTATTCATTCTTTTAAAATACATTAAAACGCTTGCTTATTAATTTCCCTCTTAATCTAATTATCTACTCATTTATACTTTAATTTGAAAAAAAAATATATACATACATTATATAATTAACTTAAAATTATCTAAGTCAATTATTTGTTATATTATTTTTTACAAACTAAAAACACTTTATAATTTTCTTCTTCAGGTAAAAAAAGGAGTTCTTCCATATCTTACCAAATCATTATTTATTATAATACTGGAAAAAGATTATTTTATATTTAATTATAAGGGAATATTAGTCATAATATAACATGAAAAATTTTACATTTGAACTATTTCATTAATTATGTTGTAACTTTTTGCTGAACTATATTCACTTATTTTTTACTGTAAAAAGTTTAATCTCTGATTATTATGAAAAAAAAAGAATAAAAAATTATTACTTCCAAGTTACCAAATTTTCAAGACTGTTAAGCCATATTTATACTTCAGTAGTTCCCTCAAATGAATGTGTGTGACAAGAGTAGGAGGGCGCACAATAACACCCAGAATGAGCAATGAGCCACTGGGTCTGAGCTCATGTGGACTGAGCACGGAACCCAGTTTATGATATTTAGTAGATGTAATCTATTAGGTCTTGCCTGACTTGTGCTAAAAATATCGTGTTTGCCTGCAATGAACAATTGAAAATTGATCATCCCTGTTTTTTTTTTGTTACTTATACATTTATTGCAATACTTGGAAAAGAAAAGGAGAAAGTGGTAGAAGTAAAATTGTAAAGAGAGTTGCAATGATTTAATATTTAAAAACATTTGGACATGAAACAGGCAACTTCAAAATTTTTTATGAGAACCTCACATAAAGCTTTCCTATTTATACTGAATAATGTTAGGGCTACAATTGGGAAATAAAATACAACATTTATAAAAGTCCTATCAGCCGAACATCTTGATGTGATATTATGATTTCTGGCTACAGAGGACTCCTATTTGAGTTTGGAGCACTTGTTTAAAGTTTCCAACAAGCCAATGGTTGTTTTGATCAAACATAAGTATGAGTCAACATGAAAGGATTGACTGACCAGAAGAAACATGAGGCTGTAGGCTCATACAGTTTGGTCTCTCTCGTCATCACCCCTCTCCTCTACATACACACTGAGCACAAATCAAGCAGGAGCTCACTTTGATGGACCAACAGCTCTAAGATCAGGCTGAGACATATGGATCAATTCGATTAGTCTTGTTCATATCTGAGCAAAACAGGGAGAGGGCATGCTTATTCTGTATATTCGACTTTAAGATTTAGTTACATATTTTGATAATACCATAGCTTAACCTTTTTTGGTTTTAAGTATATTAATAAAAAATGTATCATTCAAATTAAATATCACATAAATCAAAGATTACGAAAACATTCTAGAAAAGAATCACAAGATTATTACATATGATTAATCCTAAATGACATAAAACAAATCAGTATGGACATCCTAAGTTATATTTACAAAGTATATAAGTAAATAGAAAATATTAAATTAAAAAAAAAACATATAATAAATTAAAACAAATAAGCAAGTAATTTGAATTGTATCGGACTAATTATAGTCAATAAAATAGCATATTTGTCAGAAATATAGAATTTCAAAAGAAAAACACTATGTTTAACAGAGAGACCATTAGTATTGCTAAAAAAGTGATTAGCAATTCATTTACAAATTTACACATTATGCGAAAATCATCCAGCTGAAGTCCATCTTGTTTCTTTAACAACATTCAACATTATTTTCTGTGAATATTGTTCTCTTTCATCTGCTTCCTAATAACTATAATTGACAAAAAATACACATGAATTAGCCAATGTGTCATTATAATATTAATATAGGTATAATTATAATTAAGTCTTGTGTATAATAATATGGAGATATAAATGAGTGGCTTCATATCAAAGACTACCAACTGTTATTTTCAGAAAGATGTGAATAATTTTTTTCCCCACCAGAATTGGTTTAAATTAAAGCTACATAACAATATCTGGTGTGTCCTCTCACATGTCTTTCCTATCAACTACAAATTTTAATCAGCATATAAAATTCAATATCTTCTAACTTTTGTAATACTGGTCCAAACTAGACAATTTTATTTTAGTTTTAAATGGAATTTGATTACCTTATAAAAAATATGCTGAAAATGTACAGAGTACCTGATTCATTTAAGAGGCATTGATGGCTAAAATTCAATTATCATAAAGTGTATATTTTTTGTCATATCCAGAAAAACATTTTCTTTGCTTCATACGTTTCTCCTGCTGTTTCTCCAAACTTACTACATATAAGAAAAATAAAAAGGCTTTAAGTAGAAGACTATAAAGCAAATTTTATCAAAATTGTGAGAGCTGTTTCGGCACTACAGACTACAGAAAACCGTGCTTTATTCGTAATTTGCAGAGGGCACCTCATTTTTTTCACAGGCATCTGTGGTTGAAAAACTAAAAACAATAAAAGAAGCAACAAAATCAGTCCACCTATTTGAAATATAATCATGACACAGATAAACACACATCCAGATCGACCAATGACTGAAAATGAGTTGTTAAGGACTCAGGAGGCTCTGAAACCTAAAGATCTGTTGAAAACTGCACATCGAAAATTTGACATGTTTACAATAGTTTCTTACCTAGCAGCAGGGGAGTAAAAAAAAAAAAAAGGCTTTTTTTTGAACTTTTGAAAACAACAGATGTTGAACCTTTGATCTTTGATATAAAACTGCTCAGATATTTTATTCGATTCCCTCTTGCCTGATATAGATAGTTATTCACAATGTCCTTTAAAAACCTTTTATCTCAACATCTTAAAATCAAGACACTAGCTAACAAGAAAATTTTCGTTAAAGTACTGACTTCCTTCTTAGTTTTATTCAAATCAGACAAAAAAAAAAAAAAAAAAAGATTTTACTCTGAGAAAGAATTTAATTTTTTTTCCTTTTGATAATTTATTGATGACTTTGCTTACACATACTGACTTTTTATAAATTTATATTTTAATTTTATAGTTTGTTTAAGACTTGTTTCTTATTGCTTATAAACTTCAAACTGCTCCTATTGTCTTAACATTTATTAATTTTTAACTCCAACATTTCAGCCAATAGCCCATTATCAAAGAAAGAATAGAATGTTTTAACAAAACAGTCTAATTACAATTATAATTAAGTATATATTAATTAAATTTAGCTTACTAATTATAAATGTATCTTATTATTAATAAAAATCATTACAGCTCAATTTCCCTAAGAAATTACAACTTACAAGGAATTTTCTCTTGATATAAGTATTCATTGAACGAGGTATAAAACTTTTTGTTTTAAAATTTTTTTAAATGAGCTGTTCAAGCGATGAGGAAGATAATGTTATGTTTTCATTGATATTGATGAATGAAAAGGATTTAGAAAATACGGGATCATCCTTATTTGAAATTTTCATTGTCAGTTGATTGTTGTGAAAATATTTGGAAATTTAATACTGGTAGTGAAGAGTAGGTAATTTAATTTAGGAAATGTAGAATGATCATTCTAATTATAAATTAAGAATGATTACAATAGGAAACAATTTCTACTTAAATAATATGGTTACTGCTAACTATTCACTCCTTTTAAGTATCATGCTTGATTTTTCTCAAAAGTGATATAATATTATGGATTTAAAAATAGTATGGTCAACAGTAACACACATAATATGCTGGCGCAATATTTATTAGATAGTCCATAATTATACCATCGAATAAGTATCAACAAAACTTTTGATAGGACCTCAGTAGGATTAATTGATTAACTTGTGTATTGTATAATCAGAAACCTGTAATTTATTTCTGGTATCTTTCTAACATAACCATTTTTAAAAAGTTTTTTTTTACATATTACATAGTTTCTGTTATTGGGGTGTGATTTTCAGCTTATAATATGTTTTGTTTTGCCTTCATTTCCTTGTAGGCTGATTTGCTCTACTTCTCTTATAAGAGAAGATAATTATCAGACTTAAAAGAGAGATAATTATGAGAGTTTTAGCAAGTTTCTCAATGTCCTCTTGATCACTTTCAAGGACAGCTATATCATTTGCATATCGAAGGATTTTATGATTCATTCTGATGTAGATCCCTCCATTTTCGTGTGATGTTCTTACAAACTCCACCAGTGCCAAGTTGAACAATATTTGCGAGAGTCTATCTCCCTGCTGTAAGTCAGTTCGAACTTTGAGGGCTTCAGATACTTGTTGTATTTTGTCTTGACATTTAGGCTTATAAATACATACCAATACACAATCTTTGGAATACTTTGCTGAAGATCTTGAATTTTTTATTTTACGTTTGCAATTTGACACTTTCGTTTTGTATATTTGATGATTCTTAGAGTTAATTTAAATTGTATATACTTCCCCGGAAATAAGTAATATTAATATCTGTTTTATAAACTAAAATAATATATACCTAATCTGAATACATATAATGAATAGTTGATGGGTTGTTGAGTAAACTCATATATCACTAATAAAAAAAATTAATTTTTATTTCCTTTATTTTGTTCGGAAGTAGGACCATATCATAAAAAATTAGGAAATTTTAATATTGAATGCATTATTCTCTCTGTACAAAGAAAGGAGGAAAGGGCGAAGCTATTAATTCTTCTAGCTAACCGGAGCTGATAAATGCGAAATTGAACCCACAAATTGGAAAAATACATTAAAGAAATGAGAAAGGGAGTTCCGAAATCTCACAACAAACGAAAACAAGGATCAGTATCCATTATATAGCTAAACAAATATATAGTAGACAGATGAACAGAATATTTCAAGATGCTACTAAAAGGGGGTCAAATGCTGGAACAGCTTTCATGATATTAAGGGGACGATGCAGGTTTATTATGGTGAAGACCATTTTATCAGCAACAAATATTTGTTCGAAGCAATTGGCAAGTCATTTGGTCTGGACGAACTAAACTGAACAGTTTTGCGCGTACATAGGCAATAAATGTATTAGAAAATAACATAAAAGGACTGTAGTTTTGACCCTTTACAAGATAGGAGATACTAGAAAATGTAATACCCATCGAGATTCATTCCTTAGGTACACTAAGAAACTCTACTCAAGAATCATAGAAGCTACAATAGGATTTATTGTCGATTGCCAGAGCAATATGGATTGAGAAACTCAAGTTACACATGGGGCAGAAGTTGCAAATTGGGACACTTCACTTCACTCAGATTATTGATTAGTCCATCAAGAAAGAAACATAGATCTCTATCTGTTTAGTGCCTCACACTTTGGATTGTGCTAATGTGTCTAGTCTTTGAGAATAGCTCGTTTTCCTCTCAGATTCCTTAAAAATCGTTTGCAAATAAACTAAACAGAAGGAGAAATATTTCCCTTTCTCCATATACCTCTCTATCATCTGCTTCAAAGTGAAGATAAAGTTGTTATCACCATAATAAACCTAGTTTACTTAGTTGTGACCTGCTGACTAGCCAATTTCTTCGAATAAATCTTTCTTGCTGATAAAATGGTCTTTACCATAATAAACCTGCATCGTCCCCTTAATATCATCAAAAGTGCTCCAGCATTTGAAGCTGTTTTAGCAGCATCTTGAAATATTTTGTTCATCTTTTCACTATATATTCGTTTAGCCATATAATGGATACTGATCCTTGTTTTCTTTTCCAAGATTTTGGCACTAACTTTCTCATTTGCTAATCAACTATTCATTATATGTAGTTCAGATTAGGTACATATTATTTTAGTTTATAAGACAGGTATTAATATGACTTATTTCCGGGGAAGGATATACAATTTAAATTACCTCTAAGAATCATCAAATATACAAAACAAAAGTGTCAAATTGGAAACGTAAAATAAAAAATTCAAGATATTCAGCAAAGTATTTTTGAATTAAGTTTTATTATTATAATTATGTCATTATTACAATAGATAGAGGCCTTCTTAAATGACCTCCGTATAGAATAAAGGAAATTAAATTTAAAGAATAAAAAAAAAATAGAATAATAAATTAAAAAAATTTAAAAAAAAATTTTTTTGGACAATTAAATTATTGCGTTAATATTTGTTCGTTAATACAATCAATTTAATGTACAAAAAACGTTATTATAGCACTATAACTAAGCCATTTATGAGCACTGAATGGTGTGGTAGAGGCCTGTAGGCCCCCACGTATTGACTTTACTGATGTTTTTTATTGCCTAAGACTATTATTTTTTAATATTTTTTCACGTTTTATTCTTCTATGACTGTCCAGCTTTAATAAATGACCAACTATGACGAAATTAAGCCAAATGCTGATTCTCAGTGACCAAAAAACTAACTAAAGTCAAAGTCGTCAGTCGGCCATGTTTGGACGCCATTTTGGGGCAGTTCATTCACTTTTTTTGTGGGAACATTGGCTTTTGTTTTAATAAATAATTACAAGGAACACAACAATATGCAATTTATAGGGATTTGGAGGGGGGAGAGGTGGACGGTAGAGGGGTCTTGCTCACGTCCGTGGACTACGTATTCCATCCAAGCCTCTAATATCCTTTCCTCCTCCCATATTTTCTGGATTAGTGATAGTAACTTGGCTCTAAGTCTTCTTAGAGTGCTATATACCAAAACCTGGAAAAGGAACATATGATGATCCTAAGTCTTTCAGGTCAATATGCATATCATCTTTTTTAATGAAGACATTAGAGAACAGGCTACAAAAATCAACTTATTTTCAAAGATAAATACCCTGGAAGGATATCAGGAAATAATTAAACAATTGAGGGGAACAGGCTGCTTACAATGCATTCTGACATTCAAACCCATTCATGGGATTAATTGTTATACTGATGGGCCACTCATGACATGCAGCTGGTGCTGGTTTTTGGAGAAGGGATGAACCAGAAGCTGGCATGTAAATACTACTTGAAAATTATGCAACAGTGTTCCAATCTGAAATACTGGCAATAACTCACTGTACTTCAAAAATGTTGATTGACAGGTTAGTTGGGAGGAGAATCTCAATATATACTGACAATCAAGCGTATATCTGTAGCACCTGTGGATTATGCATTAAGTGCAAGTATCATATTTATAGAGAATCACAATTGGAAGTTTGCAATTGCACAAGTGCAAGTTCAATTTTCGAGTTTCAACCCATGATTTACAAAGGAATCACCATCTCTGTAATATTCATATAATTTAGCCCATCAGAAACAAAGAAAGAGAGAAAATTAGCTCTCTAATAATAACCATAAAAATTCACATAATTGCACTTAACATACTTTTCACAGGTGGTTAAATTGTATCCACCAGATCTGATTAGAACGAAAACGAGAAAGAGGTCATACAAAACATTTCTTTTTTTATGTTAATTACTAGAGAGGGGGATGAGGAGTTTCAAAAGGTATCACCTTTTTTAATCAAGAAATCTAGATCCAATTTGATTGGTGAGATTAAAATGATTAAAAAATTGCAGGATGGAGACTTGAAACCACTAACAGCAAACCAAAAAACTTCTAGAATGTAAAAAATTTGCAGATCAACTTAATATTTCAGTGAAAACACATTCAATTTTAAATTACAGAAAGGGTGTTATTAGATGTTATTACATTCTACCATTCTTACATAAGGAAGAAATAATAGCTGAATCCAATGGACAAATAAAAGACATTCAATGAATCAAAACCAAATCAAATGGTACTGAACAACTTACTAATTCCTATATTGTAACTCTTACTACTTATTAGGACGTTGGCAGTTAGAATACACCACTCAATGGTTGCTTCAGCTGGATTCACACTTTCTAATATGTTTTGTTTCTCTAATCTTTTCAACTCTTGCTCTATCATGGCTCTCATTAGTAGAAAGGAAACCTTCCGAGCGTGGAAAGCTAATGGCTTAGTGCCCGGCTTTGGATAATACAAACTTTCAACCTTTAATTGTGCTCAGCTCATCCGGAAAACATCTGAAAACTGGGGTACTAGTTCTCGAACTTCCTAAGGTAAATCTTTGCTCTTGGGCACATGTATATCTGAAAATTTCTCCGTGTTTCTCTAGGATGAATATTTACTTCTTTGGGTAAAGCAAGATCGTACGCTAAACATCAAGGTAGGCCAAACAGAGGAACATCCTCTTGAACTAAAACAATAGCAGGTAATATTTGTCTCTATTTCCTGAGTTTAGCTTCACCTTAACCCTGCTAGCTACTTCTAGTGTTATTTTTCCATAACCAGTAATGACTGCCGATGAGGGTTGAAGCTTTTCACCGTTATCATTGATTTGGTTCTGAAATAGTAAACACTTAGGTTCCATTAACAGTGACAAGCTTTCATCAGCCACATTCTTACCTAGCCATCTTATTCTAATTTCGACTTCAAAATCAGGAAAATTAGCCCCGGCAGCAAACAGGAGACCGTAAGAGGTTATACATTCATCCAGACTTTTACCATAATTACATTTTCGAGAGAAATTTAAGTCTATAGGCTACCTGGCTTCCCCTGTGCTTTTTCAAAGTCAAAGAGAGATACAAATATGGTCATCACAGGCTTGAATAGTGGTCATTATTTGTCGCTCCCTTCAAATCATTAAAGCTACAGTTTTCCCATTTCTTTGGGTATACGCAATCGCTAAGAATCTCAAGGTCCTCTGCTCCAATACTTGCTAGAAGTAGACCTATTTGTGCCGCATCCTCCAGGGTACCTGATTCTCCAAGGCCCTTTCATAACACACAAGCTCAAACTGTTCTAAATATTCTTCCCACAGTAACTCTTTTGAGAATTCCACAAAGGAAACTTTGCCATTTAATCAGCATAATATATCACTAACATTATCAAATATAATGTTAGAAAATTTTTATCCAAATAATTAATTATAATAAAAATGGTACAGTAAAACAAATAATGATTCCCAAAAAACAAAGGTAATAATGCAACTTCAATTCCCAAAACACAACACCAAATAAATAAAAATAAAAATACAATACATAAAAAAAACTAAACTGCCTCATAAAAGTTTCCATACAGTTAGTTTTTCTTTAACATTGCTAATAATCTATTTATTATATAATTTTTATTAATCAGGAAGGATAGTAGAGGCAAAGGTGTATCAACATAACAAGTTCATGCTGGGATAATCTAATCCCAGATGCACCTGCTTCAGAATAGTCCTCCTTTGAATTCTATCCAATTTTCTTTGGCAGCATGAACGAGGCCTGTCCTCCAACAATTTTAATTCACTGTGTCTGTTTAACATGTACTGCACAGGTGTATGGAGATTTATGTAGTTAAATTCCAATTTTTTGGAGAGAAAATCTTTGACTTCTCAACCACTAGATTTGGTCACAAATGCACTGCTCTCAACGCATAATGATGATTTAAAGTAGGCTAAACCTTAACTAAACCCAAAATGTAGTGTTCAGATAATAAATTTGAGCAAAACAATGGCATTGAATAGAAATAAAATTAAAATATCATTCCTGCTATAGGATTAGTGATCCAGCATGAAATTGTTATCATGTTGAAACACCTTTGCCTCTATTACCCTTCCTGATTAATAAAAATAATATAATAAATAGATTATTAGCAATGTTAAAGAAAAACTTAACTGTATGAAAACTTTTTTGAGGCAGTGTATAAAAGTAATAACGGATTTTAATGCCTCATGAGCATGAACCAAGTAAGATACTCTGACCCAATCCCTCTCATTTCAATGCTATCTCATCTAGTGAATGAAATAGCTATTTTTTTTTCTTTCGTTTTTTATGAATTTGAATTTTATTTATTTATATGATTTGTTTTAATTCTGATAAAAGCTTAAAAAGAATTTTCAAAAATAAATGAACTACTATTTTTTGTTTAATGTAGATCACCAATGTGCCCATTTCCTATGTTACTATAGTTAACTATAACATACATAATTATTACCTTAATTTATAAATTATATTTTCTGTACATATTTACTGTCAAGCAATAATGGCTTTTAAACAGTTGTGCCATAAGCAGATCCAAAACCGACTCGTGTGGAATCTGAATCCAAGGTAATATCTTCTGGTGAGGCTAGATCAACCCTAACTGTGGTCCCCCGCTTACTCCAGTCTGCCCAAGGCTCAGCAGGGCTTACTTTAGATTCTGAACTGCAAGAGCTTAATGTTTCAGAACTTCCACCTCCGCCTCCTCTATAACGGGCAACACCACTCACATCATCACCACCTTCTTCAAGACCTCTGTAAGCCAAATATAAAATTAATTAAAAAATATAAATATTAAAATAATTGACAAATGTGTATGTTAATGCAATTTTACTAAAAAATTAACATTTTTAAGTTCAAAAATCCTTACTGCTTTGGCTAGATTATTTAGTAATCTATAGGGTAGGACAGACTTCCTCCTCAATTTAAAAAAAAAAAACAATATTTATTTTCATAATTGGTAAATGGTTGAATGTCGTGGATAATGAAGAGAAGAATAGTTGGGGTGGTCAGTCAAAAAAGAAGGCAAAAATAAATGAATAAATAAAAATAAAATGAATAAAAATAAATAAATATTTATTTTCATTATTTCATTTATTTTTATTTTACTTTTAAATAAAATAAAGATAAACAAAATTTCATATAAATAAATTATATTAAAACAAAAACTGACTTTTTATTATTATTTAAAAAAAACCGGCCGGATTAAAGCTAGATTTATAAAAAGACTGGTATTGTAGGAGGAAGTAGTTTAGCAAGTAGGCCTGTTTCTTTTTTCCAATCCCTGACCGTTAACCAAAGTGGGAGCATTAAAATTCATTTGTTGGGAACCCCAAGAAATAAATGTTAATAAAGAAGTGAAAAGTAACAAAACTTATAAAGAAATGAAATTTCAACATTATAATAATTCCCACTGACTGAAGGAATCCTGGTGGTGAAGCAGTCCTGTGAGACTTCCTGGTTCAATAGAACTGTGATGGGTTCTTATAGATTCAATAGAACTATGGGAGCTGAGGCAATCGATCCCAGCAGGCCAGTTAAAACATTTGAATATCAGAATAAGGACCTGGAAGATATTTTGAAAAGGCACTTTATAAGAACTGAAGGCAATCCAGAACACTTGAAAGCTGTCTTTAGGGTGTCGAGTACCATGACCACCTGGTTCAAAGCTCACGAATGACACATAAACTACGAGCTTGTCAGCTCGTACAGTTTGGAGGGTGCCACCTTATGTTTTACAAGGTACCTTTATTATGTTTAACAATATAAAGTAAAGGCTGTGTTTTTTTCACCATATTTATATCTATTTTTCTCCTAAATCAGCTACGTTTCGGATATGATGTCATTTAATTTAATAATCCTCCTTATGTTCAGGATATCCAATTCTAAAACAAGTACCCAAAAAATGATTGGAAGTAGTTCAGAAAGTCCACACCATATTTGTCGATTTCAAATCAGCCTATTTGGGAATTTCTGTGGACAGGATCTCCTAATTTGGAAAATCACGACTGAACTGGGAGTTTTCAGTAAGTTGGTGAGAATGACAAAGGTGTGTACAAATGACCCCAAATGTAGAGTCCTAATACAAGGAGAAGTATTTGAAGCCTTCAAAGTTCGAACGGGCTTAAGGCAGAGAGATGGACTATCACTGATGTTCAACTTAGCTCTGGAGAAGGTAATAAGAGCAACATCACAGGAAAATAGAGGGATCCACGTCGGAATGAATCTAAAATCCTTGGATACGCAGATGATACAGCTGTCCTAGGAAGTAATCAAGAAGACATTTGGAAACTCGCTTAGACTCTGATAAGAGAAGCAGAGCAGATTAACCCACAAGTAAATGAAGAAAAAACAAAACATATGATCATAAGCCAAAAATTCCACCCCAATAACAGGATTTGTGTGAAGAAAAATCGTTCCCTAGAGTAGAAAAATTCAAATATCTCGGCTCCACAATAACCTCAAAGGTATTGAGATCTGATAAAGCCAGTTCTAATATATGGATGTGAGACCTGGACACTAACCAGCACTCAAGAAAAAAGTGTTGAAAGATTTGTGAGGAAAATCCTCTGCACGATAATCGGAGCGATCTGGAATCAGAGTTCTAACACATGGAGAAGAAAGACCAATAAAGAACTGCTTACAGAAACTGGTCAATAAATATCCCACGATATGGAGGGATGGAGGTTAAGATGGGCAGGGCATGTAGCTTGTATCAATCCATCTAGAATCATCTACGTAACAATGAATGCCTCAATAGAAGAGAAAAGACCAAGTGGAAGACCAAAAACCAAATGGATGGATAGAATCAACAAAAATACAACAGAGCTATTTGCAGATAAATGGAAAGAAATAGCCCAACATAGGCAGAGATGGAACAGGCTTGTCAAGGCGGCAAAAGATCTACATGATCTGTAATGCCAACAGGAAAAAAAACAAAAAAATGAAAACATTTATTAAAAATGGATATATCTATGCATATAATATTGGAGTCCATATTATATTAAGCTCATGTTACGTATGGAAGCCTGTTCTAATCTTCAGACGAGGTCAGTTGAGCTCGGGTGTGCTTCTATTCTTTTGGTTCTTTCATTACAACTATTGTCTGTTACAATCTCTTATTTCTCTTTTAGTTAATTATTAAATTCTCTCATATTTTATAATTAACAATGTTTTATATCTGAGATTAATGTGAAATGGTTAATTGTTTCAAATAAAAAAAATTAAAGATACTTTTGAGAAAGCTAATATTGAAACTTGGCTATTTAAACCCTGCTATAACAGTAATCTACTACATCAATGAGAATAAACCGTACATAATATTAAAAACTGCTTAATTTTACACTGATATAATGAATTTAATTAAAATTGTTAGAACCGTTTTGGAGAAAATCGTAAAAATATATTACATCGATGATATAAAGTGCCACTTCTGGGTAGCCGATTTTGACAAAAAAAAGTTGCTGTAACACCCCAGGCCTACCTTAAATAGAAATAATAGAAACCTTAAATATGCAATTTCATTTTCGTATGATTTTTTGTTTTTGAACTGGACTGTTAACACACAGAGCATTTTGTGACACAGGCGGATCTACGAGGGAGCAGGTCAGCTTTCGGGCTGAAGGCTCCCTTCCAAAATGGTAAAATATAACCATTTTTTTATGAAAAAATTATCTCTAAAAGTATTATTGTTTATCTAATTACATTTAATAGGACTACAAGGATTTCTAATGTTGAATAAAAAAGTGTATTATCTGATTTAGTCACCTTATTGAAATTATAACAATAATTCAGTAGCTCTAATTTTAGGCTAAAATTAATTTTTCTCATATGCTTTGTAAGTTTTTTTATACCTAACAAGTGGCGGGCGCTACCTTCCAGGTGAGAGCCCAGGGGCTATTGCCCGGCCCTAAGCCCATCACACTATTCTTTTGATGATAAAAATGTGCATCTTTTTGAAATGAATCTTATGACCATTTTGGTTAGTTATTAACTATGGTTTGAGTCTAAATATTTTGGTTTGGCTAATTTAGGGTCGATGGGATTAAAGTTTATGATGGATATGAATAGACTTTTTTGTAGATAATGATGTCTACTATCAACCTTTTAAATATTTCCCTCTACTTACGGGACACCTTGTATATATAAGTAATATGTTATACTAAGGGCCAGTTGTACAATTGGAGTCCAAGTCAAGTTCAAGCTTAAACTCCAATTGTACAACTGACCCTAATTAATATTTGGATTTTATCACTACAAGTAAATGATGACGGAACAAAATATATGATAAGCTCCAGCCCAATAACAGGATCTGTGTAGAAAGAAAATCTGCAATAGAGCTGCGTGCAGATAAATGGAAATAAATAGCCTAAGACAGGCAGAGATGGAGCAGGCTTGTTAAGGAGGCAAAAATTCTACATGGTCTGAAATGCTAACAGAAAAAAAAGAAAAAAACAAAGAATAAATAAATATGAATAGACTTAGAAAGAAGTATATTTTCATAATTAGGAAATATGGTCAAAGAAAGATTATTAAAATCAAATTATAGGTTTAAAAAATGTTTTATTGAGATATTAGAATATTTATTTTCACTAAAATAAGAAGAAAAGACTGATAATAAAGAAGATCCAATAATAATTCCATCCTGAAAAAACTTAAAGACTTCATAAAGCTAAAAATAGAAGTGTTATTGACATAGAAAAGTAATAAAAATTCAATATTATAATAAATTTACCTCAGTATGTGTTTGCAAATTTCTGAATCGATCAAAATGGCATTATCAGAATCCCTATTATATATAGTTAATGCTATTTGTGCAGGATGGGGTATAGGCAGTGGAATGACAAGCTTCTCAGCACTGTAATTGTGTTCCGGTCTCTTCCAAGGACGCCAAAGGGTCCAGTGCTTGTTGCCGACATTAGTTTGCAATGTTGAATGTCCTGTACCAGTTTCTCTGAAATAAATTTAGTGAATATTAAAACAGACACCTTGTAATAGACATTAGGTTCATTGAATGTATAACTTTCTTGTATCTTCTAATTGATTTATTTAAGATACCATTTTCTGTTTTATATAAACATTATTTTATTTTTTTCTGTTGCCACTACCGACCATTAAGATCTTTGGCCACGAGATGTGGTCTCCTTACAGACGTATGCTGCTTGCGGGAGCTCAGATAGCCTAGAGGGGATCACCTAACCTCACGTTGCTACATGATGGTCTCCATGGTGCAGCAGCAGGCCACACGTACCTCCATAGCCGATCCTTTTGGGACTAATCTGGCAATGTCCTTCCCACTGACTCAAGGGCAGTGAGAAATTGGTCTATTTCTTTCTCCAAAACAGACCGTCTATGAACAGATCCTCAGGGGGCTATTAATATTCTGGTAAACCACATCCCGATTCCAATTCAAGTACACGGTGTAGGGTCATCAGTCCTACGGTTGGTGTGAGTTGCCTCCAGTAGGCTGATGGGCCTCACATACCGGGTGGGGGAGAGGGGAGAGACTCGGGCAGCATAGCTTTCTCTGGTGGCCGGTCACCCATCCAAGTACTAACCACGCTCAATGTTGCTTAATTTTGATTACCTATTGCAAGCGCCTTAGCCCGTACAGCTACCCCCAGCCCCCTTACACGGTGGGCCAGACCCCCTTACCGTGCACTCTCCCCACATCCCTATAAATTGCATATCGTTGTGTTCCTTGTGACAATTTATTAAAAAAAAGCCAATGTTTCCACAAAAAAAGTGAACGAACTGCCCCAAAATGGCGTCCAAACATGGCGGATTGACGACTTCGACTTTAGTTAGTTTTTTTGTTACTGAGAATCAGCATTTGGCTTAATTTCATCATAGGTGGTCTTTTATTAAAGCTAGATAGTCAGAGAATAATAAAACATGAAACTTAAATGGATTGATGATGTGGAAGACGATTTGCGGAAGATGGGAATTGGACAATGGAGAAGCCTGATAGGGACAATTAGAGAAGCGTTGTTGTGGAGACCAAGGCCCTACAAGGGCTGTAGAGCCACGGAAGTAAGTAAGAAAGTAAGTAATATTTCAATATTTTCAGTATGTTGGATTTAAGATAGATTGACTTTTACTTCAAAACTGATGAAAATGGGATAAGAACAGACCAGCCCTCAGGTACCGTGTTGTTTACAGGTATTTCAGAGACTAGAGGCTTTGTGTTTAGAAGATTTCAATAATATCCTTATATAATAATATGGGAAATATAAATATATTGATTAATTACTGTTAATTGTTTAAAATAGTAAAATTGATAGAAGAAAGGATATTTAATCTAGGAGGAGAGGGATTGTTCTAGAGGTACAACCAAACCTATTCTAACAAGAGTGAGAAGGTCAAGATTCATTCCATGGGTTCGCCACGAAATAAATTTCAACCCACCCAGATCGGATTTTAATGAGTGCCGCTAGACTTGAGAGTATTAAAACAAGCCACACCTCACCATGCTCGGCCATAAATACCTCTCTTCACTGAAACCTGTTACATGGATACATTAAAATGAAAATTTTTAGATCATTTAATTTGTATGAGTTTAAATTTATAATTAAAATTCAGGCATTCAAATATATAATCTGAATAGAAAATGTCACTGAATACTCACAAAAGAAAATCTATTTAATTCAATGTAAAATTACCTTGACTTTGAAGAGTTTATATGCATAAGTCGATGTCTGGGATTAAAAGAGGAAACATCAAGAAATGGTGAATGAATCTGTATATTAGCTCGTGGAGCATAAACAGGACCCAGGAGATCTAATCCTCCAGCTCCTCGAACAAGTTCCCGATATCTACTAAGGTCAGTTTGCGGTGAGGCCTAGTGAAAATGAATAAGTACTTAGATTAAGATAAAGACTTTTCTTAACTTAATTTTACTTCTTTACATAACTTTTGATATTACAATTTATAACTAATAGTAAAAAAAAAACAACACTTAAGCATTAAGATATACCCAAATATAATATACTAAAATATTATTAGACTATTTGACGAGTGCAAATAATTTGCATAGCATATTGGTCATTGATCAAATGGTAATATAATATGAAAATATGTAAATCCAGTATATCATGGGAGGGATGAATTTATTTTTACTTCTACTAACTTATATATGAAATATACCAAAATTTCTTTCTCTAAACTATATTTCATTTATTTGAAATAATTTGTTAAGGCCCGATGGAGTGGGGGTAGCTCAGTGGTAGGATCCTGAGTTTCCAATGCTAAAGGTCCCAGGTTCGAATCCCCGCTCATGGCAGAAAAATTATTTATTCTGTTTCATTGGCCGTGGGGCGACCCTGAGTTGGTAGACCCTTCTGGGGCCTTGTTAAGGTCTGAATTATATTTTATTAATGATAACTAGAGAGAGAGAGAGAATCGCTTTATTTTCACAAAAGGGTGCTGCCCAATTATATTGGGTTGCTACAAACACAGCATACTTATTAATCATTATAGACAACGTTTTAAAACTAATATACAGATATATAGTATTAACAATATATATGAGCATAGTATACAATATTATATATATATATATATATATATATATATATATATATATATATATATATATATATATAAATATATATATATAATTTTTATATTTTCTTTTCTTCTTTTTTGACAATTTCTTTCATTTATTCATTAGTATTCTATACCCCTTTATATTCCTTCTCTCCCCTTATGCATTTCTCTTATTCCTCCTCAACGGAATAGAGAGATTTACATTGTCTGTCATGGACAGGTCAAAAGTTGTCACACTAATTGTAAGTGGATTCTGTTGGGATATCGCAAAGGAAAAATTAATCAAATTATTCACTAATTTAATTTTCTAAAAGGTTATATAATGATTTTTCAGAATAAACGAACGATAGATACCTAATTATTTAAATATAATGTCAGATCTAGAGTTATTAAACTACAGTAAATATATTTGAGGTTATAAACGTATCCATGAAATATTTTTATATTTCACTTCTTCTTTCACACAAGTACAATGAAATAGTATCTTAAACAATGTCATTGCCTTGAATCCGTTGGTTTTAAGTAATTTTTCAAACTTTAAAAACAAATTTTAAAGTTTACATTTAGTAAGAAAATGTCATTTAATTTCCAGGAAAACATCTTGTTATTTATATTTTTTTCGCCAATCTTCGTTACCTTCTACAACTTTCTATATTAGGCATTGTTTTTTCTAAAATTCTCTTGTTTCCAACTATATGTTATACATTTCCCTTCTGACCAGAATTTCCGGAGATTCATTTTCGACCTGGATAAGTATTTTTTTTTCTCCTTTATTTAATCATCAAATTTTTCCAAAAGTTATATTTAGCATTTTTTAATAACTCCTAATAATGATAAATAGTTATTATTTATAATAAACCAAATTAAAGGTACTTTAAAGGAAGATATGATAATGTTGGGATTTCACAAAGGGAAAATTCATCAAATTATTCACTAATTTAATGTTACAAAAAGTCAATTTTTAATGACATAATTGTCAATGACAATTTTTCGGAATAACGTTATTCCTAATTATTTAAATATAATATCAGATCTATAATCACTAAAGTACAGTAAATGTATTTAACGTTATGAACATATGGTTTGTACATCCAATGAAATAGTTTTTTTAACAGTGCCAGTGCCTTGATTAGGTGGATTTTAAATAATTTCTACAAACGTAAAAATATGTTTTAAAGCTTACATTTAGTTTGTAAATTTCATTTAATTTTCTTGAAAACATGTGATTTACGTTAATAATGCTAGTTTTAAGAGATTATTATTTATAATTTTTTCGCCACTCTCCGCTACCTTCTACAACTTTCTATAATATCTAATAAGATATTGTTTTTTTCTAAAATTCTCCAACGATATATTATATGTATAACTTCTGATTGTTATTTTCGGATATTCATTTTCGACCTGGATAAGCATTTTTATTTTTTCCTCCTTCATTCAATTATCAAATTCTTTCAAAAGTTATATTTAACATTTTTTTCATAACTTTTAATAGTGAGAGATAATTAATGATTTCAAATGAACCATATTAAAGGTTTTTTAGGCAACTCTCTAATTATGGCAAAATAACTCGCATGAGTTTCAATAAGGCAACATTCCAAATATTTAAGGTAACATTCTAATTTTTAAGCAATGGACTGTATCTCAAGGGATTGGTAGGTTAATGATTGTGCAAAAAAAAAAAAAATGACAGCTTACCGTCTATATGCCATCTCATATCTTTTTTACCTGGAGAGCTCTCCATACATGGCTTCTTGTCTTGTGCTGGAGATGGTGTTTGGCCAGTGGGTGCCGGTGGAATGGGGCAGATACAACCAGTCTCTCTCAGGGCTTAAGTGTTATCTTTATCTTTTAGATCTGGCCCCACCACTCGCCATAATGCAGGATATTTAAACGAAAACCCCTCTTAGGCACAACCAAAAGTACTTTAGAGGAAGAGGTATATGAACATTGGGCATTTAAGCCCTGTAAAGTGACATCAATGGGGATAAGACCTAAATGATATTAAAGACCACTTAATTATATAAAGTACACTGAGTTTAATCAAAACCGTTAGAGCCGTTTTTGAGAAAATTGTGAAAATGTGTTTCAGCGTTGATATAAAGTGGCCGATTTTAAGGAAAAAGTTGCTGTCACATCTAAGGCATATGCCTAACTTAAATACGTAATATCAGTTTTGTACGACTTTTTGTTTCCGAGCTAGAGAGTTCAAATACACACAGACACACAGGCCATTTAGCGGGACTTGGTTATTTGGACTCAGGGTGTATTTCTATTTCAAAACGTGTATTTCTGTTGAAAACACAGACTTGAAAATTTTCATGATCGCAATACTTACCCTTACTATATATTACATATATATAATTAAGTGAAAGTAAATAAATTAAACAGCAAAACAAGAATACTAAAAGTAAATGTATATGAAAGAAAAAAAAAAAAAAAAGCACTAAACTAATCAAAATAACAACTTAAATATAGGCAAACAATACAATAAAGATGAGAATGAAAGTTGTAGAATGATGCATTTATTAATTACACATAGAAAATATTTTTTTATTTAGTTCGATCGATGTAAAGTATAGAAATCCTATTTTTTTTTTTTTTTTTAATTTCTGTCATAGGAAGAGAAAAAAAAGTATCTATTTATGTGAATATCAGTACTAAAACATTAGTATTAATGAAATTACTACTCACTTTAAGAATGACTGACACCTAACTATGTCACTTTTATTAAACATTTGATGGAACGTTTCTCTATTTAACTTCAATTTGAAATTTAAAAAATATTAATCATTAAATTAAAAAATTCTTTTCTCTACAACTTGTGTTTAATATATTTTCATCCATAGTAGCCGCTTTTAAGAAAAAAAAAAGACTGGCAATGCCTGCAAAGGGATATTTATGAAAATTCTTAGATCATATGTTTCATTAATGGACGTTTTGATTCTTCTGCCTATCTGAATACGATGTTTGAAATACTCAGTTTATGCAGAATGAAATGTTGTTTAATTCATAATGGAATCAAGTTTTTATTGGAATACGCCATTTAAAAGTTATAGCTCATAAAATGAAAAAAATTAGAAAAAAAATAAGAGAATTTTCAATATTGAACAAACTTAAGATACTATTCTCTGACATCCAATGAACAGATTAACACCATATTCAGCTTTCCAAAACTCACTTCTAGCCGAGGTGACCAAAAGGTTTGGTGGAAAAATAATTTATGTCTTATTTTTATAGGTTAAGCCAAACACCCTAATATTTTTGTAGGCCATTACATTATTTTTTCTGAAAATAGCTCACTTATCATCTGTGCTTCGTGGCCTAGATGTTCATAAATTTTCACAACGTTGTTCTGATGACATGTTGGGGTTTAAGAACAAGCCAAATGCCCCAATATCTTTGTAGGCCACTATGACCATTTGATTATACTCATCTTTATTGACCATTAATGTGAAAAATCGGCCGGATGTTCATAAATTTTCACAACATCGTTCTGACGACATAATGGGGTTGTAGGTCACGCCAAACGCCCCAATTCCGAGAATATTCGTAGATAAAATATTTGTAGGTTATGACAAAATGAAGTCACTCACGAAGTTTTAGATGGATATTAATAATTTCATGAAAAGGGGGGCCTGTACCATAGACTATTCTTTCTTGGCTCTATAAACCATATTATAAATTAAAGACCTTCATAGCTAATTGTGTTGTTAAAATTTTACAATCTTCATCTAAAGAAAATTCGTTTCACATTGAATCAGAGAATAATGTAGCAGATCTCGTTTTCCGAAGAATATCACCTCCACTTTTAACAAAATTTGATTTATAGTGGACTGGACTCTCTTGGATGCATAAAGAAACTAGCAGTTGGCCTATTTCGAAATTGAATGAAATTATTACATAGCCTGAACTTAAAACGGAGAGTTCAAACATTCTAAACGTTACTTAGCAATAGGGCATCCCCCTGATAATTTAAAGATTTTCTGCCTGGGACAAATTAGTTCTTGTCTTTGAATTTTTACAATTTGCACACCATTGTAAATCATCTGCAAAAGGAAGACGAGAATGCCCTTTGAATGTAAATGAAATCAAGAATTTACAAACTTCAACATCATTTCTTGACGCAAGTGGAATTCTCAGGATGGGTGGACGACTTGCTAAGAATCCTTTACCTTATAATTCTAAACACCCAATAATATTGCCACCGAATGCTCGTATAACAGCACTGATTATTGACAATCTGCATCAAAATTATCTTCATCCTGGACCAGACCACTGCTCTCATTATCATTGTTGAGAAGACACTATTGGGTAATATCTGCGCGTAAAATAGTCTGGTAGTGTATACATCAATTTGTTATCTGCCATAGATATCAAACCAAAAATTACACTCCGACTTACTAAACCATAATAATTAAACTTGCCAACTACATGATTTACACAAGTGCGTCCTTTTTTATAAACTCAGGCATTGATTTTGCTGGTACTTTTACCATAAAAGAGAGCTGAAGAAAAAATTCTATTCGACGAAAATCTTATGTGTCTGTTCAGTTCAAAATTAGTTCATCTAGAACTAGTTTCTCAACTTACAACTGACACTTTTCTGGCAGCTTTGGATAGATTTATTGGACGACATGGGCTTCCTAATATGATCTTATCGGACCATGGAAGAAGCTTTATTGGTGCAGATAGGTATCTGTAGGAACACTATCTATGGTTGAAATCACAAGAGACAGAATAGAATTGTTAGTTCTCTCTCAGATTAACACATTAAATGCGAGTTTATACCTCCTACTGCTCCACATTTTGGTGAAATCTGGGAGGCTGGCATAAAATATTTTAAACACCATCTGAGAAGAGTCATGAAAACACAGGTTCTTATCATTGAATTATTTAATACATTGCTTATTCGCATCTTTTTTTTTTTTTTCATCCTACCAAACCATTTCTCGCATAAAGGTTAGTTTTCGTACCCACGTAGTGTTAAATTCTCATTCTTTGTATTCAATGATGACATCACCACAAGATTACGATGTCAAGATAACAGATCATTTTATAATTAAAGCACCATTAGTGAGACTTCCAGATGACTGTAGTGACATCCCTAGCAATCAAATATCGCGTTAGCAATTACTAAAGAAATTCCGCAAAGATGTTTGGAATCGTTGAGATACGATTATATCGATACAATTATCTTCATGCTTTAGAGTTGAAGAGTAAATTTTTTTTTAAAATCTATTTATTGAATAATAATACATGCAGCCACTGCTGGAGGGCTATAAGCATTAGGGCTAAGAAGAATAAATAGAATAAGAAAATAGTAAATTTGAAACCAGGTGAGTTATTGCTTCTAAAGGAATCAAACGTACAGCCTTTATATTGTTGTCAAAATGTATCCTGGACCAAACGGGGTTGTGAGGGTAGTACAGATCACAGAGTAGTACACGCATCCATTAAGTAAACTAGCCCTGCTGCTTACTGCGTGTTAGTCTGTGAGCTTATGTCTAAGAGCATACCTTGTGAGGATAGATGTAACTCTTAAAACTTTAAGGATAATTATAAGCTATAGTTAACCTGATTAATTATAATTATATATTAGTCCAGAGTTATATAGGATGGATAGAAACAAAAATGTTTTCAATTCAAGGGATTTGTTGCAATGTTTTCGGGTGAATTTATTCCTACTTTTTTACACGGTAATAATTTATTTCTTCTCAATTTTTCATGAGAACATGGGTGAAAAAGAATATAAATGCGAAAAAAAATGAGATGAAATTATAAAAATGGTGAAACTGTAAAATATGTGACAATACTGAAAACTGTGAAATTGATGAAAATGATGAAAATTACTAAAATAGCAAAAACAGACGAAATAGCGAAACTGCAAAAATGGTGAAAACCAAGAAAATGGTGAAACCGCGACAATGGCAAAAACAGCGAAAAATTAGAAAATCTTTTAAACAACTGAATTTATTTCAATTTTTATAATAGTGATTTTTTAAAAATTATTTCTCAAACGTGTTTTTTATTGCTACACCATATCTTCCTCAATTATTCATCAAATCCAATGATTGAGTCCTCATTTGAATTCCTTAAGGTGAGAAAAATAGTCACAGTATAATAGTCAAATTTCAGGGAAAAAAACTTATAAAGAAAAAGAAACTTTATTTACAAATAACTCAAAGAGTATACACTTTTTTTTTGTTGATTGTGTCCATGATTATATGAATGATTACTAAATTTCCAACAAAACAAAAAAAAATCACATAAATTTGAAGCAATTTATATTGACTGAAGGAGCAAAGTGGATTCAAATATATATATTTTTTTCATACTATTTGCTGAGATGTAATTCATGAACATGTTTTAAAACAGTAATAAAGTTTTGTAATAATTTTCCTTTCCTTGGTGGATTACAATTACCAAAAAAATAGGAAATGGTTCCATCATCTTATGATATGTTGCATTATTTAATTTCATTAATATTTTGCAATTTGTTCACAGACCAATTCTTTGCTAATTATTCGCACGGGCCAGTTAGAGACATTAATTGCAGTTTTATTAAAATTTAAAGTTTTGAAATTGACATTCATCATTTCTCAATGAAATTCAGTTTTCTTTAATAGCTCATTAATCAAAATCCATCAGTTCTGAGAGCCAAAAAAGTAATCTATACTACCATATTATATATAGTGTAAATTATTTATTAAAAAATGTGGGATTTTGTTAAACAAAATAATAAAAAATTATTATGTTCTCACCTCTAGTCTGAAACATGTATCAGTATCAGAGAGAGGACTGAGTATATCTAAGCTAAATATATCTGCATAAAGGAGAGCAGCAAGACCGGCCCAATCATTTTGAGGCAATGCTTTACTATCCCAAAATTCTTGTTCACTCGTCCCAAGCCTCCAAAGAACATGTCCGGGATAAAATCTCTCTAGCATCAAAGCTCCTTGTTGAATAGCAATCTATAATTAAACAATGAGTAATAGCTAATATAAAAATATTTTACTTAATTATAAATAGAATATTCATAGATCATATTAATTAATATATTATAAATCATAATAAATAAACAAAAGTGAAAAATTAATACATAGAAACCAGGGATTTTTTAATAGAAGAAATAAATAAACAAAGTAAAATAAATCTGTGAGGTATATATGGAGACATTAGTTTCAAAACGAGCTCAATTCATTTTCAAACATTTTACAGCAGATACCAAAAATGTATTCAGTTCTTGCTTCAGGTTACAAGATTTCTCACCAATATTTGAACTTTCAATTTCAATAATCATTTGCTCACATCCAACAAAACATAATGAAAATATAGGGGCAGGGCAGGGTGACTAAGCAGACTAATACGTGTGCACAGCACCGCGTATTGCCCAGCAACCCGGATCAAACATAATTAGATAATTAATTACGAGTTCACTTCACGATGCCCAGGGAGGCTTTTAACTCTGGTATGAATTCCCCGCCCTCATCCCCTGGCCCGGAAAAAAACAGTATAGCATAAAGGGCAAGGAAGAGGATAAAAAAAATAATAATAAATAATGAAAACAATACATTTTATGTGTTCATAATCTTAACATTACAACATTTTTATGGTCATTAAAATTTTTAATTATTTTGCTATTTTTCTTTAAATTACCTTCAAATCCCTAGTTGTCAGTTTAAGTTTGGACCTGAGGCTAGGAGCTAAGCCTGTGTGAAGTTCACGCCTTCTCTTATCTAGTTTTTCTTGAAGGCTTGATATAAGATCTTGGCCTTCTCTTTCCAATGATTTATAAACACCAACTCTCGCAAGTGAAGCAGAGAATGGACCAAAGCAAGCAGTGACAAACTGACTAAAATAATAAAATAAATTTATATTAAAATTTTATTTCAGTATTCACAATATACATAGTATCAAACATAAATTGGGATAAATTCTTCTCAAGAAAAAACAGATGATAAACTAAAAATAGGAGTGGAAAAATAAAATGAATGCAATAGCATTTTAGTTAGATACCTAAAATCTTTTTGTGGTAGTAAGATTTTCTGTTCCATTTGATGTTGGAATGCAGCAAGTTCATCCAGTTCTAGTTTCGCTTCAAAGGCTGCTAAGGCCTGCTCAGGCCTAATCTGTTAAGAAATATAGAAGTAAATAAAGGAAAATATAAAATTATTGGTACATATAAGATGTATATAAAATAGTTCCTAGGTTTAAAACAGTTATTATACATACCTGATAAAAATAATTATTATTTAGACCAGGTCCTTCAATTCGTTTAACAATAACACTGTCAGAAGCAGGTATCCTTCCCCTTTTTTTAATAACGGCATGAAAAACTAACGAGTCCCAAATAAGCCTTAAGCAATATCTCACAACTCCAACTGCAACCAATTTCATATCATTATAACTTAAAATTGGGCACAATAAGCATATAACACCTCATTTTAAGTGCATGTTTAGCAAGATATCTTAATCACAGATGATTGAATACAAAATCATTTTTACTGTAACGAACTTTATACATTAGATTTTCAGTGATTAGGTCCTTAAACAAGACTTAAATGAAAAAATGTCAACTATTGGAAATTCAAAATACTAGATTAAATAATAGTTTTTTATAAGTGACTAATATAATTTAAAAATACTTAGTTCCTGTTGGGTTGTTTTACAGATGCTGTATATTCTGTTTTTCCTTTCATTTTCTAAAAATATCTTTTAGCTTCTATTGTTTTTTTCTTAGTTACTGGTGAGTATTCAAAGGAATAACTTGATATATTAATCCTGCCATATCACCTTGTTTAATGGGAGCTGACTTTTTTTTATTATTCAAAATATTTTACATAATTTTTTTTTTTTTTTAGCTTCTTTATTGAGAAATATTATGTTCTGTGTCATTAAAGGACATTGATAATAGAGTTCAGAGAGAACATTTATACCATATATACAGAAAACATAAATAAATTAATTAAGTAATAGCAATTAACAACACACAATCCCTTATTGCACACTACGATGAATTCCAGAAATATTTCCTTGACAATTTTTACCACATAACAGTATCTGAAACCTGGCTAAAACCTTTTATCCCATCCTTCCAGATTTCTTTACCCCATTACTCGTTCCTATGTCATGATAGATCTCATCGCACGGGAGGTGGTGTCGGATTATATATCCATAACAGTCTTAAGGCCAAAATCCTTCTGCAGTCTCCTTATCATGATTTTCCTCACATAGAATACATGTTCATTGAAATTTCCTCTATTTCCACTCCTCTGTTGAATGCCGTAGTTTACCGCCCTCCTCGTGTTCCATTTGACATCTTTGAATCTTCCCTTATTAACCTCGTTTCCAACTACACCAATATTATCATCACCGGTGATTTTAACGTGAACATACTTTCACTATCTACCGAAAAATTCTTCCTTACTGACATAATGTTTTCCCTTAACCTTCATCTTGTTCCTTATTCTCCTACCAATCACATGTAATTTTCAGACACTTGGTTAGACCTCTATATCTCTGACTCTCCCATCAAAATCCTTCCCTCTTCTCAAAATCCCATTCCACTTCTTTCATCACATGCCTGATCCAAATTACGTACGACCTGCCCGTGAAATCCTTCATTCCCAAAATAGTTTCATACCGCAATTAAATCTTCTCTCCTATGAATCTCTTCAACCAGACCTTAATTCTGTCCCATGGGACACCAAATATTCCTACAAATCCATTGGTCCCATGGTATCCACCCTGACCTCAAACCTACAATCCATATTAGACAGACATCAACGCTCCTCTGAAAACCAAAACCTTACGCCATCCCACTGCACCTTGGCTGACCAGTGCGATAAAGGAAATGATGAGAGGAAGAGATGCAGCAAGGCGCAAATACTGTCGAACCCGTCTGCCTGTGGATTATGCGTCTTTCAAGGAGCTTCGTAATGGAACCCAATCCGCAGTCTGACTTGCTATAGCCACCTACTTCCATAATGCCCTGTCCAATGCTCCCGACTCCAAATCCAAATGGAAAATACTCAGGATTGAGCTCTCAGGGTGGGAGATAGATTGAAGTATTCCACAATCGAAGAGAAAACTAAGCACCCGCTGCTGATACCTAAAGACTCACATTTAGTAGTCCTTTTGTGTGATCATTACCACAGGTATTCCTTGCATGGTGGCCACCTGTTGGTCCAGTCTCTCATTCATCGCCAATTTTGGATCCCTTCTCTAAGAAGACTCGTTAGAAGCTGTATTTATAAATGTGCAACGTGCCACAAAAATAATGTAAAACCACAGGCTCCAAAAATGAGTAACTTACCGTCTTCCAGGGTGACCGAAGGTCGTTCCTTTTCAGCGAGTTGGAATAGACTATTCATTATGAAGATTTCCAGTAAGCGCGATTCTCCTAAGTTGAAATGTTGGTTAGCTCTCTTTGTGTGAATGTCCACCAAGGCCAAACATCTAGAACTTGTGAAGGACCTACCCACTCCTTCATTTATTACAAATTGGATAGATTTATTGCCAGACACGGTTTGCCTTCTCATATTTATAGTGACTGCAGAACAAATTTGGTTGGAGCATCCAAGAAGTTGAAGGAGCTTTATCAATTTGTTAAGGGCCAGAGCGAACCCATTTCTGATTATTTGGGTAAGACGGGTATAAAGTGGACATTTACTCCTCCAGCATCTCCTCATTTCAGTGGTATTTGGGAGGCAGCTAGCTATTAAATCTGCTAAGAGACACATTGTTGCCATTCTCCAGGATCATGTGTTAACTTATGAGGAATTTTATACTCTTCTTGTACGAGTTGAAGCTGTTCTCAATTCCCGTCCTATCTGCAACATTAGCACTCAGTCATCGGATAACCTGGATTACCTTACCCCAGGACAATTTCTTATAGGTCAACCACTCCTAGCCAGACCAGAACTAGAAGATGCACCTGTATTTCCTTTGACAAGTTGTTGGAAGATGATTTCCAAGACTCTTCATAATTTTTGGAAGAGGTGGTTATACCTCATATTCATTATAGAATACCTTCATCATCTGGTGTCTCGCAAGAAGTGGTATACTGATAAGGAAAATTTAAAGGTGGGAACCCTTGTAATTCTGCATGAAAAAGATGTTCCACTGCAGGAGTGGCGGCTTGCCAGGATAATAGAGACACTCCCAGGGCCCGACAGTGTAGTTAGGGTTGTAAAATTGAGGACTGCTACAACCACTTTGGTACCACCGGTGCAGAAGTTAGTGTCTCTCCCTTCTGGAGAAACCTTTTATTGATATGTATATTTTTTTTAAAATTTAATGAGGAATCATTTTATTTTAAATTAATTGTAAATTATTAGCCTAATTTCTCTTTAAAATAAGTTTGTGCCTTAACCGGTAATCACCAAATCTCTGAGTTTGGTTTTTTCTTTTTTTTGTTTGTGAAATGAGATATTTCACGGTGGGGGATTGTGGTTGTGCCAAAGAATGGTTTTCATTTAAATTTGCCCATGTTATGGCGAGTAATGAGGGCAGATCTAAAAGATAACACTTAAGCCTTGAGAGGGACTGTTGGCTTGGTGGTATTGTGGATAAGATAAAGAGAGGGATCGGTGAATACGGTTTTTGGCAGTATTGATTTTTTCGTGATATGGGTGTTGAGAATAAAAGTAGGATGTTAGTAAATAGGCTTTCGGCGTCTAGGGAGACAAGGATAGAGTTGTCAGGAATATGGAGAGAAGATAACTCTTCTTTAAGATGGAATGAATAATTAATGTCTTATGTATTATTGTGGCTAAGTTTTTGGAGAGAGGGTAAAAGGAATTTGCTGAGTTTAGCTGAGGGGGCGTTAATATTGGAGATGATAGGGCGGAGGGGATTTCCAGCTTTGTGAATTTTTGGGAGTCCATATAAGCGGGGAGCTGAGGAGTTGTAGGATATGAGGTTGTAGTAAGTGGGATGGTTAATTTGTTTGGTTGGGCGGGGTGGCTGAATGGGCTAGAGCGTGCGCACAGAGTTCGCGTCCCGGTGTCAGAGGGAATTTAAAATTTCACCCTCCTCACCCTCCGGCCCGGGGAAATCCTGTATAGCCTCAACGGCATGGTAGGGAAGAACAAAAAAAAAAAGGTTAATTTGTTTGGTCTCGAGTAAGTTTTTAATGTGTTGGTTGAATTTTAACATTAGTGTACGGGTTGGGTCATAAGAGGAGGATGCGTAAGTTATTTGGTCTGAAAGTAATTGATGAATTTTATGTGAGTATTTGGTCTTGTCCATAATAACAGTCGAATTTCTCTTGTCAGCCTTATTAATACTTTTACAACACCGATCTAATGTAATTTACCAGATACCTTGCTCTACTCCTAATTTTAATAGCTCCTATATTACAAACAATCTCAAAACCTGCATTTCCCAACATAAAACATTCATAACTTCCCGGAACCTATCCGCCTCGAAACTATCAGAACATGCCTTAACCCTCAACCATTCATTTGATTTTGAAAAAACCTCTATTCTTGCCACGGTCCCTAACCATGAAAAAAGACTCATTTCTGAATCCATCCATATTCACATGGAACAGAATCCTGTTAATCATAAAGTAGATAAAAACTGCATTTATGTAACATATAGACACATTTTAAATATTATAAGTGAAAAATAACTCATATATTACATCTTATTATTTTTATCTACTTTCAATTTTTATTGATTAATTCAATTTAATTGTTCATTATTCTAAGTATTCCCGCTTTGTATGATCTCTCTTTTACTTTATTTTAATTTTATATTTACATTCTACATCAATGTATGATCATCCGTTTTCACTTTGTATTCATTTTACTTTTTAACCATGTCTCAATATTATCTAATATTTAAATGTAATTATCTTACATATTTACAACCAAATATAATTATAATTATTCATATTTTTTCCCCTCTCTATACTTCTAAGCTAATTCTGCAATGTACGGTATCTTATTATATTTATATTTTACTTCTATGTACGTTGTACTTCTTCCATTTTTGTTTTTATTCACATTGTGCTCTTATCTATAATCTCTTAATTCTATTTTATATATATATGTATATATGTATATATTTATAATTTAATATTTCATAGATATAATAATTTTTCCCTTGTATCCATCCATATCTTCAAATTTTAGATACTGTTATTTTCTAGGTTTTCCCCCATAACCCAAACAAGTCAGCAAATTCCCCCATACCTGCCCTTACCCTCATTTTCCAGTTCTATGTGAAACTCCTAGCTGAACACACCTGTAAGTCTCTATTTTTATTCTTCTAATTTTATTTACTTATTTATTTATTTTTTTCTTTTCTTTCTCCACATTCCTTTATGTCTATTATTTCATATTATATCCTTTTTGCTTTCCTTTCAATCTCTCCTGTAGATCTGTAGAAGTATATTCACATTTCCATATATTATATATCACACTACAACAATTGTTATCATCTATTTACTTCAGCTTAGGATATTCTTACTTAGCTTACTCTGTTTATATTTTAATGTACTTACTGTTAATAATTTTAATAGGCTTATTCACATTGTTTATAATTTTTTGTCTAAATATTATGTAACTTCCATAATTCTATATTTGTATCTTGTCCGTTCTAGCTCTGAAGAAGATCGGCAAAGTTGGGTCGAAACGTTGGCTTTTAATAAAATAGTTTTGCCACTATTTATGACATCCACCCCAAACCATCTCTTTCCTTTATAATGCAACGGTCAACTATTAAATATTCAATATGACACAAAAAAGATAGGTTCTCAAATTCCCAACAGCAGTAAACACCCTCAAAAAGTTTATCCAGACCTGCAATAAATGGAAGGCTATTTACAAATTCCTATGATAGAGATACATTTAAAAAACAAAACACTCGTTCAGATAAATTACTGAGAAATTTTTTTCTTTTTACATGATTTTTATTTTTAAAAAAGTGTGTTTTGTAATTAATTTACTATAATGAATCCCAGCTCACAGAAGAAAAAGAAAAGAAATTAAAGCTATGATAGATATTTTTGATAAAAAAATAGGTACTTCAGAGTGACAGAACATTAAATCACAAAATTTTAGTACAGAAATGGGGTGAATCAACTCAACTCACTCTGTAATAAAGCTCAACTTAATTAATGTGTACTTAAAACTCATTAAACAAGGTAGGTCTTCTAAGAGTGGAGTATCTGTCCATCACTTCAAAGTTCAGTTTGTAATACATTACACTATGCTAATTATAATTTAATATACTTTAAAACTATCATGCTACTATTTCTAAAGCCACTAATGAACAATCCTACTATGGAACAACATAATAAAAATATGATGATTTAAATAATGAACTTACACGTGAGTATTATGAGGGATAAGGCAGGACAAATAACAAAAGCAACTAACAGTGCCGCTAATGGTTGCAGCATCCCTTTTATAACAATATCCCACAAAAGAGCCTCAGCAATCACAAAGTACCTGAAACATCCATTTGTTTATCAAAACACACTTCTTAAAAAAAAGTGACTAATAATACTTAAATTACAATCACAATTATTCATAATGACAAAGAGCATAAAGAACAAACCAATAAAATCTCTATTCCCATGAAATGTCATAGTTAAAATACAAATGAAACCGTTTATGAAGTACAGCTATTTATAATGTACAAATTGGTTTTAACCAATCTGAATTCCTCGCGCGGGCTCATTACCGCGTATGGGGAGCGTCCCAGGGGTGGCGGATGTGGGGATGGTCGGTGGAAGTTCCTCCCGACTAAGTACGATGGACTCGCTGACCAACAATGAGAGGGGCCCTCCAGACTTGCTGGAGGGAGGGAACCTCCAGACTTACTGGAGGTAGGGGCCCACCAGACTTGCTGGAGGGTGTGACGTAGGATTGAACGCCCTACTCACATATCTTTAGTTCACCAAACACCACAGTCATGGATCTCCCTAAGGTAAAACGCTCATTATCCGGAAGTAAACTAGTCCCCCGTTCGGGTCTCCGGGTGGGGACTGCTTTAGGGGATTCATGGCGCAAGTTGAAATATAGGGATTTGAATATTGGTACGTGGAACGTAAGGAGTTTAAACACAGCAGGGGAGCTAAAATCGGTTGCGAATGTGGTGAATGGGTACAATTTGGATGTCGTGGCTCTGCAAGAGGTTCGATGGCCAGGGGAGGGCTCGATGAGGGAAGGAAAGCACACTATTTGGTACGGAGGAAGCGGGAATCATTGTTTGGGTAGCGGGTTTTTAATTAGGAATAGATTACTATCCGCTTTGAGGGATGTACAATTCTTTAGTGATAGAATTTCGGTAGCTACATTTCAGGGACGTTGGTTTAAAATCGCATTAATAAACATACATTGTCCGACCGAAGACAGTGACGATGAAGTCAAAAGTGAATTTTACGATAAACTCGAATGGGTTTATGATAAACTACCGCGAAACTACATGAAAATAATTATAGGTGACGCGAACGCAAAGGTAGGAAGGGAAGAAGTTTATATTCCGACGATTGGTAAAGAAAGTTTGCACGAATATAATAACGATAATGGGATCCGTCTGATAAACTTGCCATCTCGAAAAACCTGATAATTAAAAGTACGACCTTTAAACATAAGGATATTCATAAATATACTTGGACATCACCGGATTCGCAAACACGAAATCAAATCGATCATGTCTTGATACAACATAGCTGGCAAAGCAGTATAATTAATGTACGGTCTTATCGCGGAGCAGAATGTGGGTCGGATCATGAATTAGTAATCGCGAAACTTCGACAAAAACTTAATATAAAAAAGAGAAAAGAAAACCGTTTCGATTTTGAGAATTTTAATTTGGACAAATTAAAAAATCCATCAATTAGAACCCAATTCGAGCTAGATGTTAAGAATAGGTTTGAAGCTTTAGAGCTTCCTGACGAGGACCACCAGGATATTGACAAGTTATGGGTAGAGATCAGGGATAATATTAAAGCGGTCGGTAACTCGTGTCTAGGAAAAAAGGAAAATAAGAATAACAAACCGTGGTTTGATGAAGATTGCTTAAACATGTGCGAAAAACGAAAAGCCGCTAAATTAAAAGCTCTAAATAATCCTAGCGAAGACAATCTGGAATACTTCCGAACCTCAGAGAACGAAACGACAAAAATTGCTCAAAAATAAAAAAAGGGAGTATCTTAAAAATAAAATAATTGAAATAGAAACTAATAGAATCGAAAATAACGTAAGAGACATGTACAAAGGTATAAACAGATCACGTAAATGTGTAGGGTCCGTAACATCTGGAATTAGGGATGATAATAACAATATTTTGACCGATCCGGTTGACATATTGAATAAATTTAAGGACCACTTTGACAATATTTTAAATACGGGAAATTATGATCTGTGTCCTCCTTCTGAGTACCAGAGTGCTGAACCGTTAATAGAAGGACCAAGTAAAGAGGAAGTTGAATTAGCTATCGGAAAATTAAAATCTTATAAAGCAGCGGGAACCGATAATATTCCCACTGAACTAATTAAGGCATGCGGGGAAGCTGGAGTTTCTAAAATACATCGGTTGGTTAAAAAGATCTGGGTGAATGAGAAATTACCTGAAGAATGGAAAGAATCTATTCTTATTCCGATTCACAAAAAGGGTCCGAGGACGGATTGTAATAACTATCGAGGAATTTAACTCCTTCTGGTATGTTATAAAATATTCACTTTAATCTTAACCAGTCGAATCACGGAATACGCCGAGGAAATTATCGGAGACTACCAATGCGGATTTAGACGGAATCGTTCGACTATTGATCAAATATTTTCTTTACGGCAAATATTAGAGAAAAAATTGGAGTACAATGGTATTGTTCACCAGCTGTATATAGATTTTAAAAAGGCTTACGATTCTATTGACCGCCAGAAACTGTATAATATTCTAATCGAGCAGGGGATTCCTAAAAAAATTAGCAAATCTAGTCAGGATGTGCTTGACGGAGACACTCAATAAAGTTAGAATCGGTAATAATCTGTCCGAAAAATTTGAGGTTCGTTCGGATTTAAAACAGGGGATTCCCTTTCGCCTGTCCTGTTCAATTTGGCATTAGAACATGCCATTAGGGAGGTGATGCGTACCGAGAAAGGGTTGGATCTGGGTGGGACAACATCCGTGCTGGGCTATGCGGATGATCTGGTAATGTTAAGCGAAGACCTTGAAACTATAAAACTAAATACGACAACGTTAATGAAAGCCGGTAAAGAACTAGGACTCGAAATAAACGTGGATAAAACAAATTATATGGTTAGCTGCAAAAATCGCGATAATACTGGTGATATCGATATAGGTGGTAATATGTTTGAACAGGTAGATAAATTTAGGTATATAGGTTCTACGATAACTAGAAAAAACGAAATTGAAGAAGAGATTAAGGTTAGACTGAAGGCGGGAAATGCTTACTATTTTTCTGTGACAAAACTACTTAGTTCGCGCCTCTTGTCCTGAAACTTAAAAATTAGAATCTATAAAACAATTATCTTGCCTACAGTTCTTTATGGGTGCGAAACTTGGCCGCTTACATTAAGGGATGAGCAGCGTCTTAAGGTGTTTGAAAATAAAGTATTGCGTAGAATATTCGGACCGAAGAAGGATGAGTTAACCGGAGAGTTCAGACGGTTACACAACGCCGAATTGCGTGAATTGTATCCGGGTAATATAATTGAGGTAATTTCATCGCGGCGAATCAAATGGGCTTGTAAAGTTGTTGGGCTTAGTAACGAGAGATTCCTAAAAGGTTAATATTTGCTGTACCGAATGGTAAGCGTCCGAGGGGTAGACCGAAGCGAAGGTGGGAAGATTGCATTAAAGCCGATCTGAAGGGACTGGGTTTGGACGGCGAACGGTGGAGGGAGGTGTGCAATAAGCGATTGGTGGTGTCGCATCGAACCTTCGGGTTCGCTAAGCCTTTTTATTATAAATTGGTTTTAACGAATGTCAAGACCCTTTGAGCTATTACCTATTGATTCTATTCATGAGGAATTTCCTCCAATCATTTCCTTTCCTATAACAAAACCTAAATTTTCTAAGAAGCTGGAGAACAGATCTTCCAGAGCATTCAAAGAGGATATTGTTTGTGATTCCTAACTATTCTGATAATTAATGAAATGGACTGTAATATTATTCTACTCTGTCAACTGAGATGAGAGGCTGTTTTATTGTGAACTAAGATTAAATCTCCAATCTTTGGTGTAAATGGATGTAGTTTTGTCCATTTGAGTCTCTATTGTAAAGAGTTAAAAAAATCAGAATTAATTTTATATAAAAATGTTATGTGTACTGCATAGGTTCCCACATTGTGGAGCAAAATGCTAAGCAATTCCTTATCAAATAATCTTGACGCAACACACAACTTTCACTTACCACTCTACTTTGAATAGAAATTATTTTTTATAAGCATTCTTATTTTTTCTCATTAATTCAATTATCATCTTTCAAAAGTTATATTTAGCATTTTTTTAAACTCTTAATAATGAGAGATATTATTTAAAATAGTTAATTATTTCAAATAAACCATATCAAAGGTACTTTAGAGGAAGACGTATATGAACATTGGGCATTTTAAGTCCTGTAAAGTGACATCGATGGGGATAAGACCTGATTAATATTAAAGATCACTTAATTATACAATGATACACCGAGTTTAATCAAAATCATTACAGCCGTTTTTGAGAAAATTGTAAAAACATTTTTCAGTGTTGATATAAAGTGGCACTTCCGGTTAGCCGATTTTAACGAAAAAGTTACTGTCACATCTAAAGCATATACCTATCTTAAATACACAATAAGAGTTTCGTACAACTTTTCGTTTTTGAGCTAGACTGCTAACAAACAAATAAACAGACCATTTTGTGGGACTTGGTTATTTGGACTCAGGAGACCTCAAAACATGTATTTCCGTTGAAAACTCAGATTCGAAAATTTTCACGATCGCAATACTTACCCTTACTATACATTTCATATATAGGTAAGTGAAAGTAAAAGTGAGGGTGTAGTTTAGTAGAGGTTTCCAAAAGGGGTTATACCGCACAAATTATGCAAAAGGGGTACATATTTATATATTGTATAGACAAGGAGAAAAAAAAGAAGGAAATAAAAGGGAAATTTAAATTGCAGTTAGGAAGTGATTATGAGGGACTTCAGCCAGAGCTTTCTGATGATGTTGATTATAAGGTTGATAAAATAGATTAAATTATTTTGAATATTTCCATATTAATTTTCTTTTATTAATATTGTTGTCATTTTTGTTAATTCTTTGGAATTATGATTTTAAATTTTGATTTTCTTGAAATTTTAATTTTCACCATAAATTAAATTTATATTGACTTAAGACTATAAAAGTTATATATATTTGTGACAAATACATGATTTCCAATCGAAAATTAGGCTCAATGAATTTTTTCCTCCTAGATCAGCTATCCATCACCACTGT